TTTCCATTATTTTTTTGAGTACTTTTTTCAGGCCCACTCTCTTTCTCCTTTCCTTCCATGACTGAAGTCACAAGTGCTAGATCTTTTGTCATCATTCCACATATCCCTGAGGCTCTGTTAGTTTTTTCTTTTCAGTCTATTTTCTTTCTGTTGTTTAGATTGGGTAATTTCTATTGTTCCTTCTTCTAGTTCATTAATTGTTTCCTCTGTCCCCTCCATGCTGGTATTGAGCCCATCTATTGAGTTTTTATCTTGGTTATTGTATTTTCAGTTCTAAAATTTCCATATGGTTGTTCGTTATAGCATCTATATCTTTGCTGGAACTCTTTATTTCTTTACTGTGACTGTCTATTTTTTCAATTGTTTCAAGAATGTCCATCATCAATTGTGGAAGCATTTTTACCACAGCTGCTTTAAAAATCTTTGTCAGATAATTCTAACATCTCTGTCATCTCAGTATTGGTATCTATCAACTGTCTTTTCATATTCAGCTTGCGATCATTTTAGTTCTTGGTATGAGGAATAATCTTTTCATCAAATCCTGGACATTTTTTTGTACTATATTATGAGACTGACTCATATTTAAATCTTGTTTAAAGTGGCTTACTTAGATTTCACTCCAGCAAAGAAGGAAGAGGTAAGGGTAGAAATCCAGGTCCCTCATTTGGCCTCCATTGATACCCAATTGGGAAGATGCACTTCATTACTGCTGGGTTGCTCCTAGTTCTAACGGTAGGCTTCCAATGGCACCTCCCTGGCTGGACAAGGTGAGAGTTCCCTGTTACTGCTCCCAACGTGGTGTCCACTGACACCACAGGGAAGAGACAAGTGGTCTTATTATTGATGGTGAAAGTCCTGACTTTCTACTAGGCCTCCACTGACCCCATCCATCCCAATGGAGAATGGAAGGGGTACCTCACTACTGATAGGTGAGGAAGGTAAGTCCAGCCTCCTTATTTGGTCTCTACTGTCATTGCAAGTTTAAGTTCATTACAACCTAACAGGGATGAAAATCTTGGCTCCCTAGTCAAACTCCTTTGACACCACCCTGTGGGAAGAGGGAGGGTTACGGCTCCTCCTTAAAGCCTGACAATTTTGGAAGTCTAAGCTTCCCACTTAGCCTTTGCTGTTTGGTGGTGGGGGTGGGATTATGGATTTTTCTGTGGCGTTTATCTGGGGTAGAACCATCTAAAGGTTTTAAGTCTTGCTTAGGCTGCTCCTTCCTAATTCTTTGGCTTGAGAGATCAGGCTTTATTTTTTTCTTCTTCGAGGTTTTTTTTTTTGTTTTGTGGTCTGCAGTTGTTGGCATTTCTGGATTGCCAGCTTCTTCAGACACAAATCTAAGACATATGAAGGAAAAGTAAAACCCAAGTTCTCATCATTATGTTGTTTCTTGAGTCCCAAGGTCCCTAAAGACAGTTTTCCTTCTTCTCTCCACCTTTCAGTCTTATGTTTGTTTTAGACATAACACCTAAAATGTTTAGTTCTACTTAGTGGGAGGAATAGAGAAAAGTATATCATCTCTATCTTCCTGGAGACAGAACTCAACCCTTTGAAAAATCTTGGCCTTTGCATTTTAGATAGATAACTGTAAGTGAGGAGAACTCAGAAATTGAAGTTTGGGTAGAGATGGCCTGGAAGGACATCTGAAGGCAGGAGTATTTGTTAGAACATTCTCTAGAGTGGCTATCTGAAATATACAACTGGAAAGGATAGGCACCACACAAGTGAGATCAGAAGCCAACCACAGAATACACACCAGTCAACAACATACTAGCTAAATTATCAGCCTTGAACATATGGCAGGAGACATGGAAACAAGAAGACACTTTTGATAGGTACTAAAATGTAAATTCAGTAGAATGTAATGAGCAATAGGTTATGATATGTAAGGAGAAAGAAGTTAGAATCACTTCTTGATTCTTAGTTTGGATGACTGAGTGAATGCAGGTAACATTAACAACACTGTAGAGTATATGGAAAGCAATGTCTTTGCAGGGAAGAGAGGAGATAGTGAGTTCATTTCACATTGTCTTGAGCATAAGGGATGACTGGGCCGTCTGAAGGTGCCAGATAATAAGCTGATGCTTAGCAGAAAGGTCAGATATAGAAAGGAGGAGTTGGGAGCCTTGGTTTAATTAGTAATACTCAAATCCAACTGCATGGAGATTATCCAGGAAATATAAGCAGAATGGGAAAAGAGGGCTAAGAACAAGACCCTATTAATCCCCAATGTTTAGAATCAAAGTAAAAGAAACCAAGAAAGGAAAAGGAGGACAAGCTGTCAGAGAGGTAGAAAGAGAACAAAGGAGTAGCATACAATTTAGTTCTATAAGCATTTATTAAGTGTTTACTGTGTACTCTGCACTATGCTGAGACTGGCTTTTGAGGTTCCCACACTTTACTAGGTATAAATTCAGGACAGTGTGGTCAGCTCACTAACAGACATATGCTCGGGGGGGCAACGGAACCACAAAAGGGGAACCGAGCACAGCCAAAGATTATGAGGAAATTTTCCAAGAGATGATTACATCTAATCAGAGTCTACAAGGATAGGTAGAATTAACCAAACAAGGAAAGACAGAGGGAAAGTCATGCCAGGCAAAAGAAACAGCCTGGACAATAGCAAAAGGGCAGGGGGCTCAAGAAAACAGAGAGAATTACCTTCAGTCAGCAGGGTTGATGCCACTGAGAGAAAAAAATAAAATCAAAGTGAAGGGGGCCCTTTGACTTTGTCATTTATGAAGTCACTGTTGACCTCTGATACAGCAGCTTTATAAAGCAATGTGGAGAGAAACCAGACTTCAGTGAGATGAACAATAATTGGAAGAATATAAAGTTCACACAGTATGGGAAGTGTATTTTTTTCAAGGAACTTAGTGGAGAAGAATATAAAGATGGGATAGCTAGAAATGTGCAAAAGTCTAAAAGGCTTTGTTTTGTGATCAGAGAGAATTGAAGATGTTTACAAGTCACAGGAAAGAAACCAGAGTGCAGAGATAAGGTTTAAAAGGTTAAAAAAAGGATCACTCTTTTGTACGACAAATACTTTTAGAGCATCTGCAATGTTCTTAAGCACATCATTCCAAGATAAAGACAAACAACGGAGCCCCTTGCATGGTGTTAAAGTCATGTTTCAAATAAACTTGAGAAATAAAAAAAGGCCAATGGTAAATGCACAAAAATTACATGTACTTCAGTTCTAAAGGCAGGTTAATACTTATAAATACTTTTCAATATAATGGCACCTTTGGCTTTGTCACTTTATATTAGCAATTTCATAATTCATTATAAGTATTCAGTGTTGAGGCTTATTTTGTTTACTTCAAGGGGAATTATTATTTTAATAAACATTTATTCTATTGCAAGGATTTTGGTATGGGACAGATGTGTCAAGATTATTTTATGTTTTAATTATTACAAACACCACAGTGCATGTTAAGTCTACAAAGGACAAAGGCATAGTATAAAATATGTGGAGAAGTGCATGATGGTTTAATACTTGTGTCAAAGTCTGCCTTAGTATCTCTGAGCATTCAGAGACAGAAAACCAGCCAGCTGAAAATGAAGAAACACTCATGTCTTTAAATGGTGACTGGGACTAGAAGACTTCCATGAAGATCAAGAATAGTCTCTAATTTTTTCAGAATCATTGAGTTAAAGAATTTTAAGATTGTAAAGAACTTTGACATCATCTAATACTATTATCCACACCTCGCATATAAAATTCCCATCTTCAAATTTCTTTCTTGATGTTGACAGACTTTAAGTGAAAGAGAGCCTCCTATTTGAGAACTTCCCTATTCTACTAACGGACAGTTAAATTTTCTCCGATTATTCCAAAAGATAGGTCTCTGGAACTCCACATTACTACAATTACTACACTACTTCCTTTATATGTGGCAACTCTTTAAATGTCAAAAGATACTTAACATATATGCACACTAAATATATTATTTTTATCAGACTAACCATTCACAATTCCTTCATCTCTTTCTTGTATGACATTTTCACCCTGGTCCCTTTCATCCAAATTCTTTCTAATAAGTTAATGATTTTTTTCTCCTCCTCATTAAACTGAACACAGTTTTCCAAGTGTGAAAAAATAAGATTATAACATTGCATATGGTAAGTATTTTTTTTAAAACAATCCTATCAACCGCTCATGTTTGAACTCATAATACACAGGGATTTAACCACATAAACTGCAACCAACTCAAGTTTCCCTTACTTCATTTTTGCAATTATTTTTAATATAAATATAAGATTGTAAAGATTTCCATATTTTCCCATCTTGTGTTTTTTGTCCCAAAAGTCCAAGATCATTTGTATACTGATCTAGCAAACCATCATTTTGCTGCCCCTCTCAAATTTTGATCTCCTACATATCTGATAGGTATGTGTTTTAAATATTTGTATAAGGCATTTGCTAAAATTAAATAGAATAGGCATAAGAGCAGAATTTTCTAATATACACACAAAAATATTATTCCTAGGTAACATTAGTCCATGCAACAGAATCTAAAGCAGTCATTTATTCAGCTATGAATCTGATCAGTCTATGACTCTCTCCCTTATACATATAGCGATCATCAGAAACTACCAAAAATGTCTAGCTAAAATCAAGAAACCACGTATTTGAAATCCATTAATCCTATAAGAACACAAAGAGGTGAATCTCTGTTGCTTGTTTTATGATGGCTGTTTTCTAAGATTCTAAATCAGTATCAGTCTAGTAATATTTTCTAGAAAGTGATAGACATCAAGCTTGTTAGTGAATATTTTTCAGAATATAATTTTTATGTCTTTGTTCAACACAATTTAAATAGTTGTTTATTTTTTTCTAAATATATATTTCTTTCTCTTATGAAATAACTGGAAGAAGATATAAAAACGTCCCCTGCCCCCATTCAATTTTCTTTTCCTACTTAGGACTACTTCTCTAAGACTTTTGGTAAAATTAATATTATGTATATGTAGTACTAATTTTATTTTATTACCTCATATAAAACTGTTGTGTTTCCGTGTAGAAGAGGTCCATAACAGATATAGGAATGTCCGACAACCCAGCCTAAGTCAGAAGCTGCCCACCACACCTAAACAAAAAGAAGATAATAAAATACATATATCTTAACCAGAGAAATGTCATGTAATGTGAATTTAAAACCATGATTACCTCTCCAGGTTTAAGTCCATATATAGAAGACATTGACCAGTTAAGCATTACAGCGTATCCTCCAGTGGGCCTCACCACACCCTAAAGAGAAAAGGTGAAATTAAAATCAATAGACAGTGTGTTAAAAGATTCTCTCTTCATACTGTCCACTTAAAAAAAGTTCCTGTTTAGAGTATTTCATATTCTATAAGCTATAAATAACTCTGGCTTTCATATAATTGTATCTGAATCACTATTTCTTTGGCTCCTCCAATAATAAAAACAGAATAATTTGTCCATATTAGTCCATTTGCAGAATCCATTCTCACAGACCATTCTGAACCTTCTAAAGAAAACATGATTTCATGGAATCACATGCAATAAAAAAAATTTACAGTGGTAACATAAATTATCAACATTACAGGGAATTCCCTGGCAGTCCAGTGGTTGGGACTCTGCATTTCCACCGTGGGGGGCATGGGTTCGATCCCTGGTCGGGGAACTAAGACCCTGCACGCTGTGCACGGCCAAAAAAAAAAAAAAAATCAAAGACTTAGCATGAAATTTTCAACAATTACATTTTCACACATATTTCCGGAACAAAAATGGAAACTCTCAAAATTAAGTGCACAGAAATGTCAAAGGTAGCTGTATGCCTAAGAAACAGACTACTATAAGGATATTTATTCCTTAATATTATTAAATAATAACAGGATGCTTAGAGGAAAGAGTCATATTCTAACTGGATCCTTCATACAATGCTACCCTTGTGGTCACACTACCACAGTATCAGAGCTGAGCAGTTCTTTAGTGATGAATTCTCAAACTCTGAGGAATCAATCCTGATGAGTTGGATCTAAGGCTGACAGATTTTCCTTACATTACATTTGGGCAAAAGTAGGGATTGTTACACCACGGTACTATAGTTTCTAGCAGCTATCCTTGACAGTGAACATATTCAATGTTAATACAAGATTAATTTTTGAAAACTGAGCACAAGAGTTATCATAAATAATAACTGATAGTAAATTTAATAATTAATTTCATTTATTGCTTCACTATAAACATTAATCATCATTGGCTCAAAAAGACTTAATGATGTGAATATTCAGAGCAAGAAGGTGAATGCTTGCTAAGAAATATGTTATATTTCACTCACAAGTATTTTCAAGCACCTCTCAGTAGAGCAACTAGAATTGCTTTGTGAAGAAGATAATTATTTTACCTGAAAGGGCACACATGGTCCTAATTAACGAACGTGCTACTAGTTGAACATTTTTTGGCACAGTTCTGTAACTGTAACACACATACATGAATCAGGAAATGAAAAAGAAATTGACTTTCTGTTTGTTACTAAAATTGCTGCTCTCCTCAGGTACCACTAATAAAACATAGGTATCAAGCTGTGGAATACATTTTATCTGGTCTCTTGGCAAACATCACAGGCAACTTTGTTGGCATTTGATGGGTACTTTCTAGGTTGTATGACATGGTTAGCATGCAGTTGGCTCTCTTGATCACCTTGGGAGTATTAGAAATCCTAAGCCCCTGCCAGTAAATTTCACACATGCATTTTCCCACGTAAACTGAGCAGCTCTTTACCGAGTATATGGTGTATGGTCTTCCACGCATTTTGCTAATTTGTTTGTCCTATTGAGAAGGTCTTTTCCTATAGTTCAATACCTTGATGAATTTGATATTAATCAACTTGGAAACACTCTTTTCTAAAACTTTTTATTCGTTTGGTAGAGGATAAAATGTGAAGTTTTTTCATAGACAATATGCTATCCATATTATTTGATAATTAATGTCAGTCATGATTTCATTTAAGATGTTTTAGAATTTCTCTTCACCTGCCTGTCCCTGCATTTAGAGGTCATATTTATAAATATTTCTAAATATCATTATAAATGGGTAAATTTTTATATTAAATGAGGGTAAGATTAATCAACTGGAAGTTATAGAAAGGAATAAAAGGCTAAGGAGAAAATAAATGAGTAGTAATTCATTTGTAAAACTTAGAAGATATTTTAAAGGATAGATTATCAAATTTCTGTTTGCCTCTCAAGTGAACCCTTCTTTAAAGGTTATTTACCAATGTTGCTTTGTCTGTAAAATGGTGGCTACCTAAATCCATTTGACCCCCAAAAGTTAGACTTAAAAATGAGACCATGCATGAAAAAGTATATAAAATTATACAGGTTAGAATTTAATGTCCTCCTAACAAAATTATTTCCTTAATTCTAGCAATTACTGTTTTTTTTAAAAGTCTTCCCTGTGCTAATACCACACAAAAGGCAGAAATGTTAAAAATTTAGAGGTTATCATTGAACATTCTCATTAAAACAACTAAAGTGGAGCTACAGGAGACAGAAAAGTCATGTCTGTTTATCATTGGTCTTTGATATCCACTTATTTTTATTTTTTTAAAGAATGAGTATAAAATTTTTCTTCAGATGTCTTTTTTTATTCATTAATATAGATTATCGATATGAAATAACAGATGACAGTTTTCAATTTACTGGGTATTTGGTATGGTGTAGAAAATAAAACTGCATAATTTCATATTCTCCATGTAGATCTTTTATAAGAAGTTCAAGAGTAAAAAAACTGAAAGATTAGTTTTAAGAAGAGAGTTTCTTTATTATAATATTAATATGTGACTAACATTAAGATGATAAAGCATTTCTTGTTTGTAATCATATTTTCCAGGTAATGATAATTAAAATGCAAAAGATAAACCCTGTTCAGCCTCCGAAAATACATAAACCATGCTCAGAAAAACCTACAAATTATTATACTCTAGTATGCAACATTAATCAGAAACAAAAAATGGCATTTTAAAGTATATTTGAAATCTTCAGTATGAGATATAAATATTCAACATCAGTGCTTACCCCTAAAACACAACCATGATGGATTTCACTCTTTTGAATATGTTACTTTATGTACTTATACTATCTACCTTAAAAGTAAAGATAGATGATCTAATATATTTTCAGGAAAGTCCCGCAACCTGCCAATACACTGTTCTAGTTTTTGTAGGATCAGCCATAATACTTCAAGTCTTCTGGAGAACTTGAAAAACAGCCAGGTGGGACTAACACTCCATGTCCCTAATAAAGACATGAAAGTGAATTCTATCTCAGGATAGGTGCTCTTTAAACAAAACACTTTTTTTTTTTTTTTTTTTTTTTTTGCGGTATGTGGGCCTCTCACTGTCGTGGCCTCTTCTGTTGCAGAGCACAGGCTCCGGACGCGCAGGCTCAGCGGCCATGGCTCATGGGCCCAGCCGCTCCGTGGCATGTGGGATCTTCCCAGACCGGGGCACGAACCCGTGTCCCCTGCATCGGCAGGCGGACTCTCAACCACTGCGCCACCAGGGAAGCCCTAAACAAAACACTTTTAATGTATATGGGTATTTTAAAAATTCAGTCCATACGAGTGAAACTAAAGGTTGATTATTCATCATCCAGGAATGGGACGGCAGTTATCACAGATGGTTCTTTATGATTTCCAGTTTAATGAACTGCCTTTGAAGACAAGAAAAGCCACAAAATATTATAGATGGGGCCATTAACATAAAACAGAAAACATGTCTGTATCAAATGTGTACTGTTTGGTTGCCACAATTTTAAAAAAAATACAGTTGAAATAACATCAGTTGTAGTAGAAGAGAAAGGAAGTTTAAGATGTGTGGTAAGATTAAGAGTTTGCGAGTCTTTAAAATGTTTTTTAATAGATCTATAAAAATCTGAATGGCAAATCTCAAACTATTCAGGTAAGAGAAGTCTAGATAGAGTAACCGACAAAACCTCATACTTCCTAAGTTGAGCCCCTCTATCACCCTACTCTGTAATAAAGACTTGTACAAGACAAATATACATATTTACATACATAAAATAGATATTCATTCACACATACATATGTAAATACATATGCATATGTGTCTATATGTACACGTGTATATGCCTATGCTTTGTATGTATGTTGATATATACATTTCAATTCAGTCTGGCAAATTAAGTAAAAACAAAACAAGAAGAAAGAGGAAACAAAAATATTACCTGAAGAAAAGAAATCTATCACCAAAGAACAGTTGGAGTCAGTGAGTTGAAAAGTATGAGGTATGGTTCTGCTTATTTAAAAACTCCAACAAACCAACAATACTCTTGCTCTCATAGTGGTTTTACAGGTGACATCCCCTCTTCCTAGAATGCACCGTCACCCCTTTTCTGAACCTGGTCGGCTCCTACTTGATCACACAAGTACTTAACAACACTGTGAAAGTGCCACCTCTTCTGGAAGCCATCCAAATCCACTAGGTTTGTGTTAAAAGCCTCTCCCTACTCTTTCATGGCCCCAAGACCTGCAAACTTCTCTAAGCCTCTGAGCACTAACAACATGTACCTACTGCTAAGTCTCCTCCACCACTCTGGGCACCATAAGAATGCTTTTGTGTCTTCAGCATAGAATAGGCAGTTAATACATTTTCTGACTGATTAAAAGAGTTAACAGTTAAATGAATAAGCACATGTACGAAAACTATAATTTTTAAAAAACATTCTTTGTTCAAGAGAAATCCTTGAAACCTTCAGAATTTAATGAATCATATTAGTAGAAATGGAATGATTCCATTTGGTATATTTTGTCAAACATAAAATCTCTTGCTGTAGGCAAGACAATGACTCTGAAGCTGCCTCTATGGAGGATACTTTAGCAGCAGTATAATTTTTTATTGGTCTGAGCAACTGTGAGATAAGGGGCAAAGGTGTAGCAAATTCAGCATTTTAACTGCAAGAATTGTACCACAGATTAAAAAAAAAAAAGTTCACAGGTTTTTTTATTTGACTTTCTCTTATCTTTTTCTACAGTATAGAATATGAATAAGTCACCTAACACATAGGAATAAAAGTTAAGATAAATTATATAAATTCACATCAGGACAAAGGACTTATCTACCACTTTCCTGTCATGCCTTCTTTTCTAATTCTTTGCTTTTGGTTTCTTTTCCCCTGTGCTCCTTTGGCACTAATTTTTTTTTTTTTTTTTTGGTTATCTCCATACCTCCATGACAGCAAGCCGGAAGAAGATAAATATGACCATCACTAAATCTCCCACTCCCAAAACGACACCCCATCCAGATGAGGGATTCTTCTATTGTGTAGTTCCTTGAAGTAACTTGAATATAGGTACCTAAACCAAACAGGATAAAAGTGTACAACAGGACAGAAATGTATGCAAAGCAGCTCAGCTGTGGTTGCTAGAATATGTGCAGCAGCTAACAGATTAACCTGTCATATAACAACCTGACAAAACCAGGGTTGGCAGGTGCAGAGACGCAAATATGCCCTAGATATATCTGAAAATTCTAACCAAAAAACAGACTGCATTGTGTGTGTCTTATATGTGCCTATGAGAAATGAGCTTTTTTTTTTTTTTTTTTTTAAGAAATGAGCATTTTTAAGCAGAATATTTTTATGGGCTCACAACATTATTTTTCCTCATGAAGATCAAAGATCAAGAAAACAAATTATATGATGACATGAAATTTATATTTAAATGCTTGTGTGCTCATCTTTCCTGAACTTCTATTCTGGGAATCGCAATATTAAAAATTCAGATCCTATTAATTCTGATTATGTCTACCAAAAATGAAGTGAGAATCTTATGAATAAAGAGGCATCTGGATACTCAATATCTTGTAATAACCTATAATGGAAAAGAATCTAAAAAAAGAATATATATCTACATAACTGAATATATACATATATATATATATAAAGCTGAAACACTTTGCTGTACACCTGAAACTAATATAATATTGTAAATCAGCTATATTTTAATTTAAAAAAAAGGCATCTGGGAGCTAACTGGAGAAGTAGGAGATTATTTAACAAATATTCTGATGATCTACAATGGCCCCATTCTAAGGTTAGTGCCAGAGTGGATTCAAAGATGTATGAAATATATTCTAAGACCTCAGAGAACATGCAATGTTATGAAAATAAGTAAATAAAAAGTAATATATTAAAAAGTAGAATAAAATAAGTGGCATAAATATTTGTTGGCAACATATAATTTCAATGCAATTGAAATTCTAAAGTCCACTGGAGGGTTAAAGGAAATGTTTCTGAAAGACCTTGAGAAACGACTACTTTGTCTTGCCATTCTGCATGTCCTACTCTGTTAAAACCTACCCGTTCCCATGATTTAAACACCATTCCTCTACAACCAATGACGTTCCAAGGGTCTATCTGCAAATCCAGATGTATTCTTGGACCCAGACTTTCACTTCCAGCTACTGGCTGGGCATCTCCATGTTAATGTCCCAAGGATACATCATACTCAATATGTCCAAAACCTCCCAGTTTTCTCAGTCCCAAACCATTTTCCTTTGTTTCTACTTTAGTAAATGTTCGAAACCACTCTTCTGTGTTCTCAGGTTCAAGGTCTTGGACTCCTCCTCTGCCTTACTCTTATCCTTGAACCAAATCTGATTGTTCCCTAATAAGTTTGTTGTCCTAAGTAAGGTCCTAAACTAAACACAGCCTGGAAAACCAGTCTCCTAGTTTCCATTATGTGTATTTGCCTATCTTCTCAACAAAATGTTGCAAGGGTTACCTTCCTTCATATTTTTTCTTAAGAAGCATTAGTGCTCTCCATTCCTTACATACAGTATATAAACTAAATTTCTTGGCTCAATTTTAAGCAATTGGCCCCTGCCTATATATCTGGCCATTTCTCTTCTTTATCTGCACCAAATGCACTAGCCATCCTGGAACCTTCCTTACACGCTCCTGCCTTTGCTTATGTCAACCCAATCTACCTCGCATGCCCTCCTCCCTATTATATCACCTGATGAAGAAGTTCTATTCATCTTTCAAATGTCACCCTGTCGGGCTTCCCTGGTGGCACAGTGGTTGAGAGTCCGCCTGCCGATGCAGGTGACACGGGTTCGTGCCCCGGTCCGGGAAGATCCCACATGCCGCGGAGCGGCTGGGCCCGTGAGCCATGGCCGCTGAGCCTGCGCGTCCGGAGCCTGTGCTCCGCAATGGGAGAGGCCACAACAGTGAGAGGCCCACGTACCGCAAAAAAAAAAAAAAAAAAAAAAAGTCACCCTGTCAAGTGCTTTCCCTGACACCTCCCTGATAAAACAGCACTCCCACTCTTTCTATCACCCTTATCCTGCTTTATTTTTCTTCATAACACATCACAGATTGTATAGTTCTTTGTTTACTTCCTGTGTCTAGCCATAGAATGTAAACTTCTAAAAGATAGATATATATTTGGGTGCTCAGTAATCTTTGTTGCATTAATGGAATTTAATCCTTCAGACACCATCCAATCTCATCTTTTCTTCAAGAAAGCAAGAAGTAGGGTTGCCTTCTTAGGGCAAGGATCACAGACTATCTTACCTTATCTGTGTTGATATATATTGCAATCCCACTATGCTGAAGGGGCTGTGGTTTACTCATATTTTTATCTCTTTTAGCACCTAATGAACACTCAATAATGCATACTGAATTGAGCTAAATTCAACGTGAATAGAAATCTCCGAACAATTAAATCCTTCTCCAATCTATAGAAATAGATTATCTTCAGGATGGTACATTACAAGGAAAATGAGGATGATTAAAACATCAAACAATCTTCAGTTTGGGCATCTAGGAATCCCACAAAGAACTCCTTGACCCAGAGAAAACCTGGAATAGCTAGGTTTCTTCCTTATCTGGAACCACCACTTTTCAGATTTAATGCCCTGTATATTACTTTTACTTTATTTCTACTACACTAGCTGAGTCAGCTTTGAGTTGATGACAAGCTCTTCTTCGGCCCTCTCATAAGGATCCCCCTCCAGGCCACAGTGAGTTTCAGTGATTTAAAGTCTTGAGGTGACAGAAAAGTTATTATAAGATTCCTTCAGGCTTTTAAGGAGCTAAATTGATTTTCTTTATTTGGTTAGGTTATACTATGTTTTCAGGGTCAGTGGTTTCATCTCATGCTGATACTTTTATATTAGATTATAACTTGCTGAGTCCCCTTTTATTTTACAGCCAAACGTTCATTTGGACTCTATGTGCATAATGCAGGATTGCAAAAAGTGAAGGGTAAGAATTGCATCCAGCAGATCCTTTGGACTGCTTATACAAACATATCTTAGAGTCTGCAATATAAGAAATATTTATTTTTCAGATGACCAGAGTTCTTAAAATAATCATAGGGCTTTGATTTTACAACAACACAAATATCTTCATGTATATGCATTAATTTATTTATGCACTCAACAAAAATTTGAATACCAACTACATATAAAACACGATGGTAGACCAAAATGTAATAAAACATGGTCTCTGTACTCCGAGAAAATATATCCCTCTACCAAATGTTCTCTTTTTCACAAGCAAGTGAATTTTATATAAAACGTCTTAAGTCTTAATTTTCCTTTATTTACATCTAAACTAACATAATCACTAGTTTAAGAGTGTTAGCAGGTAATTTTTCAGAATTCTGATGCTACAGAGGTCCGATATCAATAAAGAGGCCAATGCCCTATAGGATTCAAGTGACTGTAAAAGTCCCTTTGCCTGCTAACATTCTATGATTCAATGAATATTGAACTCCTTAATGAAGATTAATAGGAAGATGATATCACAAGTCTTTATGAATTTATATGAAAAAACAGTATTATTTAGAGATACTAGGCAAAAGTGGTATTTGTTTGGTATCTGACACATTCAGGATTATTGACACTTTTGACTTTGTTTTGTGAAAGCACCTTCCAGGGTAAAAGACTTAAAAAACCCCTGAGCGTCTTCAGTGCTGCAAATCAAATAGTTCAATCCCCTGGATAAATTCCCTGTTGTTCAGACTGTCTAGGCCAATTCTCAAAGTTGCATTTTTAACGATAAATTGAATTCCTCTAAATCAAAAGTCAGTTTTCATACTGTATGAAGGTTATGCCTCAAGTTAAAAAATAAAAATATTTCATTTAAAATATATTTTATAAAATTTTATTAAACCAACTGATATTCAATCAAATATATATTAATTTTAACAGCTTACTAAAGCAATTGAATATTGCTGATAATTGTGAAGATTCTGAAAGAAATAAGGACAAAGCATTTGATATTAAACATAATGAATATTTTTATATATTTAGACACAATATGTCTTTAAGATATAAAGTACTTTCAGTCAGTAGTCAAATATTCGCAGTGCAAAACAATCTGCCACTATAATTATCCCTAAGATAGTGCATACCTTTGGCAACCCCGTTGTTCCAGATGTGTAAAGAATATACAGCGGATGTTCGGAAAGGACAGGAACACAATCATGTGACTGTGCTTTTGCCATCTCTTCATCCCAATCAAGGTCACGACCTGGCGCCAAAGGAACCGGCTCCTACAAAGCAAAAATATAGGAATATGCACTGAACAAAGGAGATTAAATCAGGAGAACACTGGAGAGTAGCTAAATCTACATTAGTCTGAGCATCTGACTGAAATCCAGGCCTATAGAGCACTAAATATCAGATTTATGACTCAGTACTTCAGGGTCACGAGTTAAGATAAATGTCCATAACAAAATCCAACAGTTTGATGTTGGCTTCAACTAAACTTACAACAGAAAATGTTTTATTCAAACCTAGAGATATCCTTAAGAAATTCAATATGATGCAGGCATGATTTCATCAACAGTCAGAGCTTAACTAACAGAGGTTCATGCTTCTATAAATGCATGTACACTAACACCTTTATAAGCTAACTTCTATTTTCTTTTTGACCTGAAACACACACTTTATTTTTCTTAATCGGGGTATAGTTGCTTTACAATGTTGTGTTAGTTTCTGCTGTACAAAGAAGTGACTCAGCTATATGTATATATATATATCCCCTCCCTCTTGGACCTCCCTCCAATCCATCCCCCCGTCCCACCCATCTAGGTCACCACAGGGCACCAAGCTGAGCTCCCTGCACTATACAGCAGGTTCTCACTAGCTATCTGTTTTATACATGTTAGTGTATATATGTCATTCCCAATCTCCCAATTCATCTCACTCCCCCTTCCCCCGCCCCGTGTCCACATGTCCATTCTCTACCCCTGTGTCTCTATTCCTGCCCTGCAAATAGGTTCATCTGGACCATTTTTCTAGATTGCACATATATGTGTTGATATACAATATTTTTCTCTTTCTGACTTACTCTGTATGACAGACTTTAGGTCCATCCATGCACCCCAATATTCACTGAAGCACTATTTACAATAGCCAGGACATGGAAGCAACCTAAATGCCCATTGACAGATGAATGGATAAAGAAGATGTGGTACATATATACAATGGAATATTACTCAGACATAAAAAGGAAAGAAATTGGGTCATTTGTAGAGACGTGGATGGACCTAACTTCTATTTTTCACAACCTATTTCTTTTACTTTGGAACTACTGTCTTCACAATGAAATCTCAACTAACCCACTAAAATTTCTCTTTATACAGGGCCATTTAAGAGTAATACTGCAGCCATTTTTCCAAATGAGAGAATATTAAATAACTTTCAGGGGTGGAGGAGTAATCTACTTCTGCTTTTTCAAGAACAAAAATCAGTTTTGAAGTTAATGAGAGTATGAGACATACACAAAAAGCTATCCAAGTTTTCCTCCATCTACGTTATTGACTAATATGGTAGAAATGTTTGTTTTCTTTTATATTCCTAGAACCAAGCTCTAGTGTTATAAACTTTATAATAATAGAGCCATGAATTAGACAGACAAATCTTAAGTTAGACCTCTTTAAAAACGGTGCCAATGAAATATGCCAGATAGATGAAGAAAAAGGAAGTGGCTTATGGAAAAATTACTCTAGTGGGGAGTTATAGCTATTTAATTCTAGTTATGATCCAGTACATATCTAGTTATTTTATGAAATGTTGACTAAGCTCAAGATGACACATCAGGAAGTTTACAGTTGGCGAACTTGTTAGTAGGCACAAGGCAAGACTTGTGAAAGTAAGTTCCTCAGTGAAAGTAAGTTCACCACCACTAATACTGTAGTATGAATATTACTGTAATGCCATATGCCATAAAAACTGTATAATTATTCACTCATTAGTGTGTAGGCTGGGCTACCATGAAGCAATCATATTGCTGCTTCTTCTTTATCAATGCATGAATCATTATACCTAAATATTTCTTTTTCACATTATCTTTTCTGTGAATTTCTTTTTCACATTATCTTTTCATTTTTGATGTTTAGTGTTGTAATACGTAGAACATCTACAGTGTTTTGTATCATATAAGCCAATATTGATGCAGGTACTGATAGACAATTCATCTTGTAAACAGACGACATAAACTTGTGGTATGAGTAAATATAGTTATAAATCTACTTTCTCTTCCTTATGATTTTTTTAATAACATTTTCTTTTCTCTAGCTTACTCTATTGTAAGAGAATATAGTATATAATACATATAACGTGCTAATCAACTGGTTATGTTATTGGTAAGGCTTCCAGTCAACAATAGGCTATTAGGTAAGTTTATGGGGGAGTCAAAAGTTATAAGCAGATTTTCAACTGCCCAGTGGGCCAGTGTCCCTAACCCCCGCATTGGGTCAACTGTATTATTATTATAGTTATAATGTAAATTAATAAAGGACACCACAATAGACTACACATTCATTCTAATTCATTAATATGACAGATACTCCTATGTTCCAATCTTTTTGTTTTAAGCTCGTTTTTTATAATGACAGAAAATATCATTCTTTTTTGCCAAAAATAGTGGCATTCCTGAAGTATTGTATATTCAACAGTTTATAGATCAAGTGTTCCTTTCAAATGGTCAAAAAGAGGCATCCTTAGCACATCACCATAAGCAAGGACCAAATTCAATATTCAGATTACCATATTTGGACGATTATAAATGAGAACTTTATGTGGCTTGTGTTGTCCTATTCTCAGAGCTTCTTCTAGAAGTGGTATGTATTCTACCTTCCTTCCAGGTTCCATGCCAAACGATGCTGTAACAACGACCTTGGGCTACAATGAAAAATAAGTAAATAAATACGTGAGAAAGCTTAACCATCCTGATTAAGGTAACCATAATATTTCAGATGCAGGCTGACAATTTAACATTTCTTAAGAAACGTTTGAATGATTCTGTTCTCTATTAAATAAAAGGCCTGAAAACCAATAAGCTATTTTTAAATGTTATAGCCCTAACCACTTCCACATAAATCTCACTTACCTGTTCAGAATTCCACACTTAATGATGCTTCTGGCTAATAAACATGAGCTTTTAAAAAATACTTTCGAAAGAATTCATTAAATCAGGTAGATGTAAATTTGCCATGAACCAGTGAAACGGAAGCCTAGGGCCCCCTCACTTGCAGAGGCCTGCATAACAGCTGGTTGTTGCTGAAGTTGTAGCATTTCTTAGCGGGGGAAGACCCAGCCTGACTGCTATTAGGAAGCATTTCTAAGGTTTTTTATGTAAGCATCTCTGCTTGAACACCTAGAGAGAACTCAGAAGGAAGAGACCTGAGTCTCCAATAATTATTTTATGATTCTTTTCTCATTCCAAATACATACTCTTTTTCACCAAATTTTATATTGTCATTTTGTCATATTTTTCTTAAAAGGGCCCTCATTTAAGTTTCAAGCCCCACAAAACCTGAACATGCCCCCGTCATTAAGACACACTTGGCACTCTTCTTTACCTGACAACTTGCTAGTCATTCTTCAAGATATGCACAGGTGTAGCTAAAAGGCTTAGGATCAATCTTCCTTCCCTGGTAGATTCTGAGCAGGCCTCAGATATCCAACTATAGTCAAAGTGTTCCTTTGTCCCCACCTCTGCACAGGAAGCTCTCCCAGGCCAAATTTGGACCCTGTTACCTCCCTGTCTCCTCTGCCTGTTACAATGCTTGCCATACCATAAGCTCTCAACAAATATTTGTGGCACTGAACCAAAATTCTCGTTAATCTGCAAAACAAACATATCTTTATTCTTTTAAGTACACTGTTTCTTCACGAAGAAATCCAAAGCAAAGGAAACAGATAATAAATTACTCAGGAGAAAGATAATCAGTCCAACATAGTGCACCTATTCCTGAATTTTGATTTCTGGTTACAATACATTTCATCTAGGGAAGGTTTATATAATGTCAAATATATGCATATATAGCACTTTCTGGTTTTTAATGTCATTTAATATTCATGGAGCTGAGGCTCAGTGCAGTTGCATAGCTTGCTCCAGGTTAGAAGTGTTAGAATCAGAAAGAGGGCCAGTACTGACTGATTTCAGAATCTTCCTCTTTCCACTATTTCAAGCTGCCTTTTAAAAGGAAAGAAATGAAAGAGTAAATCTTGTATCCTTTTTTAAAGGTCAGACATTTGAATATAATTCACATTTTAATATCTGAAATATGTACAAAAATAACTCCAGATAACATTCCCTAAGATTAGAATTTTAAATTCTGAATAAATGAAAGTAAGTTATACATCAAATTAAAAACATATATAGAATATATCAAAAGTTGAATAATTTAATAATTATTGATAATTTATATTAATAATTTATAAATAATTTATATTTATAATATTAATATTATAAATAATTATTGAATAATTTAAAGTCAAAATTAGATTCTTCCTCTAGAAAACAATCCCTTTCACATTTCTATTAAGAGCCTTTTATTGGAGGTTTTATTCCATCTCAAGTGGACTACATTCTTCCCATCTTCATCTGTTAAAATAAAACTTTTTCTTCGGCCTAATTAGTTGAAAATTACGACATCAAAATCATCCCTGGTTTCAATTATCATCCAAATATCTACGGTATGTATCTCTACCTCCATCTCCTCGCCATTAATTTGACTTGCTCAATGGTCCCGCCCATAAGAATATGCACTTACTGCCTAAACTCCTTAACAAGTTTGGGGGTGGGGGAGGTGTCTATGTGTGTGTGTCTTATGGATGAAAACTCCTCCAGTGATACAGCATGAGTTTTATAAATTCTTATTATATATATAGATATAGATATAGATATAAATTTTCCCACATCGTATAAAATCTTTTAAAAAAGAAACAATATATCTCATACCTTTCCCCAAATGGTGTTTAAGATTTCTGTAGCTGAAAAGCCAGAGTCTATAGCTTCCTCAGGGAAGTCTCCAACCGCCCACTGATTTGCAGATCAGTGACTGATATTTCCCCCTAGATTTCCCTTCATAAGCACTAACTCAACATGTTTTTAAAAAGATAGAGAAAAGAGAATCCAGCCAGTTAGTGTGCAAACCAGCTTCCTAGTTCTAATAACTGATCTATTACCTGATGAAGTCAGATATGTAAAACCTCACCTCATGCCTAGTACTCTGGGGACCCTCAATATATATTAGTTCCCTTTTTTTTGTTAAGAATGTTTCTCATCCTGGCCTTATAAAACTCCATAAAGGTCAGTCATCTCCTACTCCCATAATGACCTTCCTTCTTTAATCTTCCCACTGCTGTTCTTCTCCTGCACATTGCCCACTAGCCACTGATTCACAAAGAGACCACCTACCAAAGGTTCTCGTTCTATCCTCTCTCCCACTCACATCATATTGCAAGACTTACCTCCTCTTAACATTGCTTAAAACATGACAGTCACCTGCTCAAAAATTTGACCGGTCAGCGTCTACAGGATGCAATTCAGACAATAACTGCCTTTTCAAGCTCACCTTCTCTCCCTCTCCAATCACATTGGTCTATTTGCTGTCCTTTAAATGAATTTTTACCCTTTCCTGCCTCCCATGCTAGACTCTTATTCTTTTTCTAGCCTTTTGGATCCCACTGTCATTCTCTTCAACTAGCTGAATCTTAGCCAAGATGTAACTCAAATCTCACCTCCTTCAGGAAGCTGCCTTCAGCCACCCCAACTAAAAGATACCATTCCTGCCTCTAAATCAGGGATCTGCAAACTATGATTCAGAGCCAAACTCTGCCCAAATTACATTCTGTAAAGTGTTGTTGGAACACTGCTTTGCCCTTAGTTCCTGCAGTGTCTAAGGCTGTTTTTGTGCTACAACAGCACAGCTGAGTAGTTGCAACAGAAACCATGTAACCCGAAATGCCTAAAATATTTACTATCTGGTAACTTACAGAAAAAAGTTTGCTGATTCCTGCTCTAAATTCATAGAATCATAACAGCTAACCTGTTTTTTATAAATGAGTATTATATGCCAGGCACTGTGTTAGTGCTTTAAACTCAGTTATCTCAACGATATTTCACAACAGCCTTTCAAGTTTGTGATCTTAGTACCCCACCTAAACGTGTTACTTCACCTGTCCCTAACACACCCTCTTAACCACTGTGCTATACCACCATTCCTGGAAATATATAGATTATAAAACTAGTCATGTGTCCCATCCATTTGATAAGTATCATTTCTTAGCCAGTTCCAAGGACAGTACCAGGCATAGCGTGGAAGCTTAATAAATACATGTGGAATGAGTAAATTAGTTATTATTTTTCTTAAATGTCTTACACAAATATATGACAAGTTAACTTGAAAGGCTTGCACCTTATATGTTATATTCTTCACAGTATCTAGAAAGATGTCTACCACATAGGACTGACTCGAAAATAAAATTTTGGTTAATAGTGTATGCCAAATAAAAAGTAAACTTTACCTCAGTTGATAGGAGGATCTGATAAGTACAGATCACTCTTCGATGGTTCCTCCACAGATAAATACAGCTGTACTATATGCAGCTACAACGTGATTCCTCCAAATAAAGCACTTACCTTTGCATGATCAATGCGACTGCTGAGTTCTCTGGATGCAAATCCCCCAAATATGAGACTATGGATGGCTCCTATCCTAGCACACGCCAGCATGGTGTATATCGCCTGGGGGATCATGGGCATGTAGATAACCACGGTGTCACCCTTCTTGACATCATGCTTGACCAAAACACCAGCCAGCTTAGAGACCTATAACAACATCATCAGATCAGCAACGTGTTCTCTGTGGTAATTCACTGAACTTCTCAGTTACGACAGTAATGCAAGAAGATGATCACTGCACCCCCCACGCCCCCACCTGTAGTGGATTATAGAAGTCTGAGAAATACATATTTGATGATGGTGGTAAGAGTTTAGATGGTGACAATAATAACAGACATCTGGATTATAATAACTGACTACAAACCAACTTACTATTATTATCCCATATGAATTTCATGGCTTAAATTTGCTTAATTACTCATTCAACAACATTTTTACTAAGAAACTATCATGCGCCAGACATTGTGTTTAGGGTTGGGAACACAACACTGAAAAACAAAGACAAAGACTTGTCCCTGTGGAGTTTTTATGCTAAAGGGAGAATCTGTCAAGTGAGCAGAAAAATAAAATAATTACAAATTTAGTTATATGTTGGGTTAACTGTTGAAGGAAACGGTTAAGATCAAAAGCCTACACATGATAAAATTTGTTGCAAGAAACCTTTTCATGGGCAATTACAACAAGCTGTGGGAAGTATGCCAGATCTAAGTGAGGATCTAAGAAGTTCAACATTCTTTTATTTAAAAAATATATATTGAGTTCCTATACATCACACACCCTGTTTTCCGATACATCAGTAAACAAACAAGACAAAGATCTCTATCAGAGTACTTATGTTTTAGCAGAGGATATGCAATAAATGTAATAATTATGTATTATGTTAAAAGGTATTGAGTGCTATTTGATGGGGGAATAGAGCAAAATAGAGGGGATTGGGAGTGCAGGGGATGTAATTCTCAATGGGACGATCAGAATAGTCCCAAAAGGGATTCCCTGGTGGTCCAGTGGTTAAGACTCCACAATGACGTCCACTGCAGGGGGCATGGATTCAATCCCTGGTTGGGGAACTAAGATCCCGCATGCCGCAGCACAGCCACCCCCCCAAAAAAGATAGACCTAAGAAAGTGACATTTTAGCAATGACACATAAGAGGTTGAGACTAAGTGGATATCTGTGAGCATACTATTTCAGGCAGAAAGGGCACCAGTACAGTGACGTAAGGGGGATCATAGGTGATGTGACTGAGGAACGTAGAGGAGACCAGGGGAGCTGAAACAGAAAGAGCAAGTGAGAAAGTGGTCATAGATCAGGTCAGAGAGCTAAAGGGTCAGTAGGGATCCACCGGGCAAATGGAAGGACTATGGCTTGGCTTTGAATGTGACTGTTCAAGCTGGTAAACAGAGGAGGCCTGAGAGAAGGAATTAGGCCACACTGCTATTTGAGGTTCCTTTCCTTTCACTCTGCCTCTCCTACTTTTTGAACAAGTTCAAAGGATTCTGAATCCTGATCATTCTTCCTTTTTCTCTCTATTCCCTTCCTCTGTGCAGATGGGGAAAGATGTGGTCAAGGTTAAGGGCTCTGGGGAAAGACAGACAGTAACAAACAACTCTCTCAGTGTTTTATCCTGCCCTATATTGCAAACTCTAATTTAGTGCAATTTTTGAAGAGCCCCAAGTTGCCCAGTAGAAAGTTACAAGAAAGATAAATCAAAGTAATATCAATCGTGAACTTAAATTCTATTATATGGAGCTCAAGAACCAAGACAAACACTGAACGTCATATCCAAATATCTCAGTGTAAACCCTGCAGAAAGTGGCCATGCTCTGGGATCGCATTACTGGGTATCCTGTTTAAGGTACAGCACTGGGAGAGACCAACGAGAAGAGTTTGTCCTATTTACAGCTATAGCCTTGGCATCTTAAATAGTGCTGAATAAAAAGAATCTTCAACCAAAACCCAATCTAGCAATGATTCAGTAACTTTATAATCCTGTCTTACTTCACAACGTTGCTGGAAGATGTCCAAAATTTTTCTGTCCTCTGAAAGAAATGAAATCAATAAATTCAAGACTTTCTTTAAAAGAAGGATCTCACAATGGCTAAATGTAGCCCCAAGATGTATTTAAGGTGGGGTCATGTCACACCTAAAAGAAAAAGAAATGAGCCAACATATTAAACTTAGAAGGTTTCATATGCAAATTCAGATTTCCAGGTTCTCTTGAAAAACTGGAAGGTCTAGCCACAGTGGGTCTGTGTTCTTGAATGACAACAATCAACTGAACCCCATGATCAGCTGCTGGGTTTGCCATGAAGTTGCTTTTCCCTAGGGCTATTTATAACAGAGCTTGCATTTTTCTTTCCTTCTGGGTTTCAAATATATTCTTCTACATCCTGTTTATTTTGTCATGTGCTTACACCATAGTTCCATAACCATAGAGATGTGATATATACAGATAATTGATTTTTCTCTCATCCATGTCTCCCACTTATATTATCTGCCTGGTTCCTGCAGGCATCTGAGCCGTTAACCACTGCCTTGAAGACAATCTTCAGTCAAATTAAGCTGTACTGTGTCTATATCACCAATAGACGGTGCCCATTTGGCCTTGCTAACCTCCCTTCTTGGAGCTACTCCTCAATGTTTAGATACGATACTAACCACACCAAAGTTGCTCTGAAGACGAAAGTTTTATATGAGCAATAGAGAAAAATATCTTTTTTAGTAGTTTCTGGTGCTAAATGTCACTCCAGTAAAATTTTCCATTGTTACTTCTAAATTTTAAAATATATATATTTATTTTTATAAATATGAAAATGAATGGGTAAATATGTTTCAGGTAAGACTTCTAACAAATAAGCTAATGAAAAATGAAATTTTAGCTCATAGCAAAAGATGGGATTGATTTAATATGAAAATATTTGAGAATGTTTCATTAAAAAATATTCCTCATTAATATTATATCTAGTGTTGGGACTTCCCTGGTGGTGCAGAGGTTAAAAATCCGCCTGCCAATGCAGGGACATGGGTTCAAGCCCTGGTCCGGGAAGATTCCACATGCCGCGGAGCAACTAAGCCTGTGCACCACAACTACTGAGATTGCGCTCTAGAGCCCACGAGCCACAACTACTGAGCCCACATGCCACAACTACTGAAGCCCGTGCGCCTAGACCCTGTGCTCCGCAACAATAGAAGCCACTGCAATGAGAAGCCCACACACCACAACAAAGAGTAGCCCCTGCTCGCCGCAACTAGAGAAAGCCCGCATGCAGCAACAAAGACCCAATGCAGCCAAAAATAAAAATTAATAAATTTATTAAAAAAATATATTATACCTCACGTTGGTTAATTTGGAAACCCCAGAACAGAATACTTAATAGTCTTACGCAGATGCAAAAGTAATCATTTTGAAGATAAGTGTAAGCAACAGCGAGCAATTAGAGGAAATATCTAGAAATCTCAGTCACCTAAGAGTTCATAATCACTCAAATAAAGTTCTATGAAACCAACACAAAGGACAATCTGATTATTGCTATTTCAGGGTTCACCTTGTTTTCATTGGCTTTTTGATGGAAAATTATCAAACGGTAGATATTATTTTTATTCAACGTTATATTCTTATTCTACCATAGGTGTCTGAGTGTAGATTTATAATTTTTATTATTATCCAAAAGGAAAAAATTTTAACATGTATTTCATATAACCTACAGTTTTTCAACTGAAGAAAAAATTAAATCATGTGCCACTCACCCAATCCATATTAATCTTTGCACCTTCTTAAAACTATTTTAATTTATCAACTATTTAATAGTCTTACACAGGCACAAATCACTAAAATTGGTTTTCTTTCTGACATCAAGCGCAATACATAACCCATACAATCATGGTCAGGCCATGATACTCCTCTAACATGAGGATAACTGAGCTGGGGACGAAGCCTGAAGAAATGAAACAAATGTATATATACATATTCATTTAGAACAACAGTGTTTGCTTTTTCCCACTAGTTATTTATTACATGAACTAATTATTATTTTGGTACTAATTTAAAGTTATTTTAATATCTAAGTATCCTGCCATTGATTCAAGTTATATAGTATCTGCTATGTGTCCTATACTGAGGTCAAGTCGGCAGGTGCAAAAATGAGGAAGATATGTTCCTTAAGGCAAAGAAATTCACAGTCCAGGAAAAAATATCATACATAAATAGTAATGATAAAATAAGAAAATGCAACAAATATTTATGTAATATAAAATGGTATACACATATATTTGGTTTATATATAACACACATATATTTGGTTTAGATGCAAATAAAAACTTTAAATTTTAGAATGGTAAAATAAAAACATGTAAGCATAAATAATGAAAAAAACTTCAGTAAAATTTTTATGTACTCATTCTGGAAAATCTTCATTCCAAAGCAGTCTGTGAAGAAAGACAAATACCATATGATGTCACTTATATGTGGAATCTACAATATGGCATAAATGAACCTATCTATGAAACGGAAACAGACTCACAGACAAAGAAAACAGACCATGGGGGGAGGCGGGGGAGGGATGGATGGGGAGTTTGGGACTAGCAGATACAAACTATTATATATAGGATGTTTAAACAACAAGGTCCTATCGTATAGCACAGGGAACTATATTCAATATCCTGTAATAAACCATATTGGAAAAAAAGCGGTCTGCGACTTAGTAGAATTTCATGACCAAAAGTCCATGACACAAAAATAAACATTAGTCAAAACTGATCAAAGACTATGTTCTATAGAGTAAATTAGCACTTGCTTCACAAACTGCCAGTGTGTCCATCTAAAGAAAATCAGGTTTGTATGACAAAGACAGCGTTGGTGTCCAAATCACAGTAAAAACAACAATCAGAGGCAACCTCAGGGCCATGTTAAAGAAAATTACATGGAAGAGAAGACAAGAGAAAGCATGCTTTTCAGCGGCGATGATATTACTCTGCAAACCCTGGTCGAATCAATATCAGAAAATGTAACTACTTTAAAAATCAATTATAATATCTGAGGAAACAGTTTACTAAAATTGGGGATGAATGATCTGTTCTTCAGAATATATAGAATTGCCCACAGAAAGAGATAATCACCTAAAATACCTGCATTTTACTTTTAAACATAT